TTATATTTGCCATGTATGGCCGAGAGTGACCTGAGACTTACAATCACTTGGACAAAGGATGGCAGGTCTTCCCTTCCTGTGGAGTCTAATGTTCTACAGAATGGAACACTGGTTATAAACAACATTGGGAAATCACACGAAGGATCTTACACCTGTAGAGCGACTAATGCTCTGACATCAATAGAGGCCAAAGTCAAAATCAACTCTCCCGTTGCAACGTCTTGTTCTGTGATAAGAAAATACAGCGGCAGCGCAAGTGGAAATTACGTCATTGATCCAGATGGCGTAGGGGGACTGGCACCTTTCACAGTTTACTGTGACATGAGTGACAAGAATGGGGTTGGCGTGACAGTCATCAGTCACGACAGTGAAAGTAGAACGCACGTGAATGGATGTGAACCTCATGGCTGTTATTCACATGACATTCATTACACTGGAGCGAGTCTGTCCCAGCTGGCGAGTCTCACCAGAGCCTCCTCACACTGTGAACAGTTCATCAAATATGAATGTCATGGTTCAGTGCTATTAGGAGGGCTGGGAGGAGGATTCGCATGGTGGGTGTCACGTGACTCTGCTAAGATGACGTACTGGGGAGGAACATCACCTGGAAGTAGTAAGTGCGCATGCGGGATGACCACCTCATGCGCAGACTCCAGTTATCCTTGTAACTGTGATAAGAATGACTTTGCATGGCGGGAAGACAGCGGTCTCCTCACTGACAAGACACATCTACCAGTGAAACAGCTCAGGTTTGGTGACGCAGGTGATGGAGGAGAAGAAGGATATCACACTCTGGGAAAACTGAAATGCTATGGAATAGCATGAGCAGTTAACATGAAAGCAGTTTTCAGTAAAAGATTAGTCAAACCAAATTTTAACTTCGTTGAAATTTAGGCTTTTAAGATAGACTGTTAAGACGCATTAGGTGAAACAATATGTTCCTTTCTAACATCTGAGTAATTTTTTTTGATACTGAAGTATATGACTGTATTTTGCTTTTAACCACTCTAGTTTTTTGGACATCGACTTAATTTCGATCATTTTAAGTGCACTCCAATTTACTCTAGTAATTATGGAGTTGTAAGAGCAGCAATTGTCATTGGACCCCAGTACGTTGACTGAAACTCCACCGGTAACAGCGGACTCGTTCTCTTATCTCTACCCCACAGTCGGGTTTACCAACAAAGCCGAGTTGTGAGAGCGCGAGGAGTGAGGCGGGAAACTTGGATAGTGTTTGCCATATCAACAAAGTCAACAATGGAGGTCATGAGTTACAAATTGTCCGGCAGCAACCCTAATAGTTACAGTCCTTTCCGTAATTCAAGAATTTAGTTTTCGTTTATTGTCGTCATTTTTAATAGAGTGATATAACAAATTCATTACCTAGAATTAATGCACTTACCTCTACGTCTACGAGAATAGGCGCATGCGCGCATGAGCAGGCGAATATACCCGTCTACATTTTGCATGAAAAAGCGTGTTGGGGCTAAATCGTGCGCTTAATCTACATATCAACCGTTTTATTTTGTGATAAAATAAACATGACAATTTTGACCTCGGCAGAGAGATTCCTGGTAAGATAATGATATCAGATCTGCTTCCTGTGAAACTTAAGCCTCCTTCAGAACAAGAACAGGCAAGTCTGTTGTTTTAACCTCTAGAGAGGGTCGTTTTACACCCAACTGTCTGCCACACAACTACAGGGACTAACTGATTGAGTTGACTTGTTAGTCGCTATAAGACTTAAGGAACATCACTTCTTTACTGATATAATTTGTGATCTAAGGCTACAGTAGCTTAAGAGCTAATCGCAGAGATCGCAGCAATGAACCATGACTAAAGCGTGGAAGCAGTCAAACACTGGACCGCCTATGTTCCGGGTCAGGTCTGCTGTTTTCTTTTGTCTGTTGCATCGTGCTAATTCACCAAGAACTCAGAATACAAGAAAATCATTGTCTGATATCATTCGCACGAGATTCGTTGGATAAGATGAAGAGAGAACTATTGCTAAACGTTCAGGAGAATATTATACGAAAGCAAGTTGTGGCCACGAAAAGCCATTGGCATGCGACCAAAGGTAACAGAATCAATTTTCCATTGTTTAAGTCAGTAATGCATCTTAGGTCATTGAAATTATCAGATATTTCAAACTTCTGCATCTGACTTACCTTTACCTAAATAAAATCGTATTGCAGCCCAGCAAAGTGGTTCATGTGCCCGATTCAACCCATGAGTGACGTGACTGACTTTTAAAGTAATTGATTATTTTCAATTTTGATTCCAGGTCACGAAGAGATCATATCACAACAGTGTTCTTCAGTCAAAACTCCTAAACGAAAGTCCTCGATCCCTGACATCCTCTGAAATAATAACTCTGATAAAACAAGAACTTTATCTGTTACAAAACCACGTCTGTGCTAAAGATCACACTCTCTGTCGTTCAGGGCCGAAAGGTGACAAGGGACAACGAGGAAGACAGGGAAACCGGGTCCTCTCGGGAGAACTGGTATAGAGGGACCTACTGGCAAACATAGACCTACTGGACCAGCAGGATCAATGAGAATAAAGGGAGATGTCGGATTACCGGGGAATCCCGGTGCCTTTGGACCGTCAGGACCGCCGGGAGTTAAGGGAGCCAAGGGTGAGCCGGGTAAG